AAATGACGGCGCCGTGGGTGTAAACTTACAGATTAAGGGGTGGTAATATTATAATGAGATCCCTTTGCCACGTCACCAAGGGAGCGAAATCAGATGCGCTCGTTTTCTCAGACGCTTGCAGAAAAAGGCTTCCCAAAACAAAGTTACTGGGTTAATATTTTTCACGTTTCCTTGGTTGGTAGATGCACCGGGGACCTGATTATAGCACTTAAAACCTGGAAAAGTCAGATATTCATGATATGTCACCTTTAAATTACTGAAAATAATTGATAAAATTTTGTATAGTTTTAGTTAACAGTATTATTACTGGTAAACTGGGTCATTTTGTCTTTGAAATGAATGGCTAAAAGAATTCACCAATTTACCTGAATTCACCTTATTTGATCAGATTCAGAGTTTCAGTAGCAGTTTAGTGAGGTTGAAAGCCTAATTTAAATAAATTAACACACAATTTGTAGTATTTAAGATTTTTTTTTATTAAAATGGTTGTTTTGTAAAGATATTTATACATCTATGCACAATTTATATGTCTTCCAAAACTAATTTGAAGCATTTAAGCCTTTAGTGGCATTACATTTACATTTATGCATTTAGCAGAAACGTTTTTTCCAAAGCATCTTGCAAAAGAGAATCAAAACCAATTCATCAGGGCCAACAATACTCAGAATACACAATGCCAGGTTTTTAAACAACTACATTAGAGAAGAGGAGAAAAGCAGAAGAAGAAAGAAAAGTTTTTGTGTGCGTGTGTGTGTGTAAGTGCATTGGTTTAAGCTGTTTTAACCCAGTCACTTCATGGTTTTGATTTCAGATTGCGCAGAGCAGGACTTTGTCGGCGCTAATCTGGTGCAGGTTCTACACAAACTACTGACAGATGAGCACAGTGCACCGGAGATCAAATACAACTCCATGATTCTCATCTGCTCCGTCATGGGATCAGGTGAGTCAGGAGATCACAGAAACAAATGACTCAACACATTCACAAGTGTAGGAACTATTGACCCTAAAGAAGCCTGAAACTACACTAAAACCAGTGTTGTTATTGTTAAGGGGCACCTACTATGCCCCTTTTTTTTACAAGATGTAATATACGTCTCAGGTGTCCCCAGAATGTGTCTGTGAAGTTTCAGCTCAAAATACCCCACAGATCATTTTGAAAATACTAATTTTGAGTGGAAGAAGAAACGCGCTGTTTTCGTGCCTGTATCTTTAAATGCAAATGAGCTGCTGCTCCCCGCCCACTTTTCCACAATAGGGCTGTGCCTTTACAGCTCGTACCTGAAATACTCTGCCAAAAAACATCTGTTTGGTTTTGATTATCATGTCTGTCGCGCTGAAATCATGCGTTTTAAAGCCATATCAGTTTAAACTTCTGATAAAGTGTTTTCTGAGCGCACAGAAAGCGGCTGTCACACGGCATTTGAGTACTAAACTAAGTTCTCTTTCATGTCTTATAAACATAGCGGATTGTGTGCGGCTCACTCAGGGCGGGGTCTCTGCTAATATGACGGTGTCAGTCAGCGGCCTCTTTACTACATATCCTAATGATTTTTGGCATAAAAGAGAAATTTATCATTTTGACCCATACAATGTATTGTTGGCTATTGCTACAAATATACCCGTGCTACTTTTTTTATGCATTTAGCAGACGCTTTTATCCAAAGCGACTTACAGTGCATTCAGGCTATACATTTTTTACCAGTATGTGTGCTCCCTGGAAATCGAACCCACGACCTTTTGCGCTGCTAACGCATTTTTATTTAATATTACATTATTACATAATATTACATTACATTATTACAACATTACAACATTATACATTGCTACTTATGACTGATTTTGTGGTCCAGGGTCACATTTATGTCCAAACACCATGTAAAAGTGGATTTTGCATAATATGTTCCCTTTAACTAAAACTGAAACGTTAATTTAAATAAAGCTCAAATAAAATCTAAATATTCAGTAAAAAACCTAAATTAAAATTTGAATGGAAATGTTGCCTTGGGAACTAACTGAAAGAAAGTGATTGCATTACAAAAACTGAAATGAAAATAAATTAAAGCTAAATATAAATATACAAAAGAACAAAAACTAAAATTAAAATAAAAACTGAAAATATAAAAATGAAATCGAATTAAAAATATTAATAAATAATATAATAGCATATAAATAAAACTAAAATAACACTGACTTAAGCAACCAACATTCAGATTGTATTTAGTCATTTAAATTTTGTTACATCTGAGAAACGACCTCAGTGACTTATAGTGGCCTCAAAAAGTATTTAGACACTTACGCCAGACATAAAAATATATGAATTTCATTGTATTAGAATGATAACAAAATTAAACCAAGCATTTGTTAAAAAAAAAAAAAAAGTTAGCACAAGCTTACTGTGAAACATTTCATGTCACAAAATTGTTAGGGTTTTAAATGATAAAACCATAGATATTATTATTATTATTAACATTAAGACAAATATTGGACACACAAACCTAGTGGAACATGTTTATAGAGTCGTGATGAAACAGATGTAGCGACAGATAATTTCTTCCATATTGCAACGTATATTAGTGAAACAGATTATTAAAAAAAAGGAAAAATGTAGGGCAGGGACTTGGTTCTATCAATTGGTTGTTGATTGGATGTTGAGATGTGGGCGTGGCACTCAATCACTTTTTGTGGTCGATTGTAGGAAAGGGGCGGAGTTTAAGCAGATGCTGAATTATTTACGTTTTAAATAAAACAATAAAACAAAGACTATTTTAGTATGTTTTACAGTACACAGTAAGAAAAAACATGCATTTACAAAATAGATGCCAAGATGAAATCAAAATTCACCCTATTTATTTTAATGCACATTCCTTTTTGTAGACAATTCATCACTATTCCAATTTTGTAAAAAATTGTCTTCATAATAATACATTTTTATAAACCATTTATCATTTACTAGTTTAATATCCTGACGAATATCCTTGCGAATACTGTTTAATGTGCCGAACTACACTCGCATGAAACCGTTTCTTCCGATTGAATGATTGATTTGTGCGTTTTCTCCTCTCACTTCAGAGCCACTTCATAAAGAAGTGCAGAGCTTGGCCTTCATCGACGTGGTCTCCAGTCTGCGCTCAGATGAGAACAAGACGGTGGCGCACCAGGCCTCTCTCACAGAGCAAAGGTTAACGGCACAGAGCTAAAGGACTCTTCCACAGCATCTCCTCCCTGCTTGCCCTCACACACACATATCTCTCGTTGTCATGTGCCAAGCTGTTGTCCCCTCCGCATTCCCCGCTACAGACTCTCAAAGCCCTCTGTTTGCTCCGCGCATGCAGAGACGCGTTACCCAAAGGCAGCCATACTTTGTAGACAGCCTTCTGCAATAGATTCATACACGAACAGCAAAATATTTTTAAAAGACCATAGCTGTGATAAAAAAACCCCCATGAAATTCACCTATAAAAGCTGAAAAAAAATAGAACATGAATGTTGGCAGTGGAAATAGCGCAGTTGTGTCTTCATGACATGTAAAATCACACATACCAACCGACTTGTGGAAGGTTTTTTTTGTTTTTTAAATCGTCCGGTTTGATGTATCTGTGTTCAGCTATTCAAGCCACGCCCATATGATATGCCCCGCCCCTCTCCTGCTTACTAATTTACATAGAAGAGTAGAGATCAAATGTGTTTGTACTGTATAGGGCACCTCTGGACCAGCATGGACCTTTTCATATTTTGTCTCCTGGTCCTTGTGCCACCCATAATCCATCTCTACTGGAAAGAGCTAATTCCATAATCATTAGTCTGTTGCGTTTACAAAAATCGATGATTATTGTCATATGGAGAAGTAATATATCTTGATACCAAGGACTGAAGTTGTTGTACATGACGCCCTCGGAAACACGATTTTTATCATTTCAGGACCTCATCAAAAGAAGTGATGTCATTATAGTGTAGTTTCAATAACTTGAAAGGATAGTTCACCCAAAAATAAATTCTGTCATTATTTATTCACCTTCATGTTGTTCCAAACCTTGTGTTCATTTCTTCTGTAAGACGTACAAAAGGAGATAGTTTGAAGAATGCTGGTAGCCAAACTGTTTCAGGTCCCATTGACTTTTGTCCACACTGTGGAAGTCATTGGGGCCAAAATGGTTTGGATACAAACATTCTTCATTTTTTTTGAAGAATGAAACTATTTGGTTTGCAGATTATTCAAAATATCTTATTTTGTGTTCCACAAACGAAAGGAATTCCAACATTCTATAGATATATTCAAGATACATACAAGATACTTTGATGAATGTTGGTAATTAAACAGTTTTGGGTCTCACTGACTTCCATGGTATACCAAATTCTTCAAAATATCTTATTTTGTGTTCCAGAGAAGAAAAAAATGGCATCATTCTGTAGAAGATATTTTGAAGAAGTCCCATTGACTTCCATACTATGTTTTGTCCATACTGTGGAAGTCAATGGGACCAAAACCATTTGGATACCAACATTCTTCAAGATCTTCAAAATATCTTTTTGTGTTCCACAAAAGAAAGAAATTGCTACATTCTATAGAAGGTATTGTTGGTAAGAGTTTTGGGTACCACTGACTTCAATAGCAATTTTTCTTTGTCCATACTATGGCAGTCAGTGGGACCCAAAACCGTTTGGTTACCTGTATTCTTCAAAATATCTTCTTTTATGTTCCACAGATGAAAGGAATTCCAACTTTGTATAGAAGATACTTTGATGAATATTGGTAAACAAACAGTTTTGGGTCCCGTTGACTTCAATGGTATTTGAAGAATTTTGGTAATCAAACAGTTTCAGGTCCCAGGTAGGACCTGAAACCATTTGTTTACCAACATTCTTCAAAATATCTTCTTTTATGTTCCACAGAAGAAAGAAATGCCAACATTCCATAGAAGGTATTTTGAAGAATGTTGGTAACCAGTTTTGTGTTCCATTGACTTCCATAGTATTTTTATTTTTTTTCCATATTATGGAAGTCAATGGCATCTGAAACTGTTTGGTTACATTCTTCAAAATATATTTTTTGTGTGTTCCAGAGAAGAAAGAAATACCAACATTCTATAGAAGGTATTTTGAAGAATTTTGCAAACCAAACAGTTTCTGGTCCCCATTGACTTTCATTGTATTTTTTGACCATACTATAGAAGCCAATGGGAATGTTGGTTACCAACATTTGTCGAAATATCTTTAAAAAGTAACGCATACAGATTTGGAAAGACATTAGGAAGAGTAAATGATGACATGTTTTTCATTTTTTTGGGTGGACTATCCCTTTAAAATCGATCAGGAAATGACTAGCATGACTGCCAGTACGCCATTAGCACACACACATACGGTAGTCTCATGGCAGATTAGTGAGACATGTAAGGGCTGGGACTGGTCATGTGTGTAGCTGAAACTGCCACAGTTATGCTGAGCAAGGTAACCGAATAATAATAATAATAATAATAATGTCTCAGACGACAGACTCATTGTGAATGTTTCTTTTGAGAAAGTGTCTTTTTTTGCATGTGGAGCTGCCTGTCCTCCTTTCCATCCTCTCCAGTATCCTCTGAACATGCACCTCCTTGCATGTCCGATACTGTGAAAATCACTGTTATGTGGCCGTTTTATGTCAGGTAATTAAGTTCTTATTTATCATGTTTGTACCCTCGAGGAACCACATGGCAATCCAGTATATCTACAGTAGGAACCGTACAAATATAAACGGAAATAATTGTTGTAAATGTCATTGATGAACTGTACATTTCAAAGATTTAAACTTATTAAAACAATTGCTGGTGACAAATTTATGCTCTGTGATTCTACCTTGCCTTCTTGTCAAAGTTAATATTAATGTTGAAATGGTTTATTAAATCTTGACAGGAAAGACTTGAGAGAGCCGCTCACTGAGCAGATTAATGACACTGCAGTGGACTTTTTCAATTGTATAAATCTTTAGGTAGAATAAAAACACTTCATATGTCTTTTCCATTTCGATGTCAGGAGGGGAATAAAATGATTTGAGAAAGTGGATTGAATCAGCAAAAGCACTGGTGGTGCATTGTGGGAAAAGAAAATGTATCACTGTCAAAAAGGTTGTTGAAATATTCTAAACCAGCTTTAATAAAACAGCAGGTGCTTTTTGTTGTGTATATATTCAAATAATTAAAAATATACATGCATAAACACACAGTAAAATATGGAAGCCCATTTCCACCACATATGCTTTGGTAAATCATTATTACAAGATAAAAAGTCAATTATAAGATAAATTGAAATTATGACACACTAAGTCGTAGTTATGAGATTAAAAATTTTGTGAAACCACAATCATGACAAAAAGTCAAATTTATGTCAGTCCAAATTTAGACAGTAAGTGGAAATTATTACATAAAAGTCAAAATTGACACGTCGAAATTATTAGATAAAAAGTCATAACTATAATGCGTCAAAATTAGATAAAGTCATAGTTATAACAACTTGAAATTGACATAATGGCATAAAAGTTGAAACATAAGATAAAAAGTCAAAATCATGACAGTCAGAGTTGAGATTTAAAACTTGACATTGTGTCATGTCAGTTATGACAAGTAGAAAATTATGAGAAAGTCAAAATTATGAGATCATTAGTCAAAATTGTCGATAATTATAGCAAGACGAAATTTACAAATTTGTCAATTATAGCATAAAAAGGCATAATTAAGTCAAAATTATGACAAAGTTACAATTATAAGATAAAAAGTCTAAATTATGAGATCAGAAATCATAAGTCAGAATTATTGTCAAAATAACAAATTGAAATGAGTCATAATTATGACATAAAAATGGCTTTGCCGTAATTTTTACTATTAAAATCATAATTTTGAATCTCGTGATTTCAATTTTTTTGTCATAATGGTAAACATTATGTCATTATAATATTATATAAACATATAAACATTATAATAAACAGCAGTCTTTACTGTTACACATGAACGATATTTGTTGCTAAAGGGATTCTGAATTAATATTCTCTATTTTTTCAAAGACTTGTTAAGGATAAATGGTAACATACAACAGAAAGCTTAATTAATCAGAAAACCCACTAAAATGCTGAGAAATTATTTATTGAAAATGTTTGTTCTTCTTGCTGGAGCATCAAATAAATGTATGACACACAGCCCTAATAACTGCCAACATTAATATCCTCACAGCTCCAGTAAGAGGACAAGTTCAGACTCTTGAACATTTTTCCCTTCTTTTTGTAAGCATGAACACATTTGAAATGCATTGTAATTGTAAAAACTACATCAGAGTGAACGTGACCACCTGCTTGCACAGGGAGCGTGCTGGGGACTATTTTCGTAATATCAACATTTTCAAAAATAGTGGAGTGTTCCTTTAAAAGAAAAAAAGGAGACATAATCCACGTTAAAAGCAGTTTTAGTGATGCACAATTACACGAGTGCTACATACAGTAGTGTGTTACGGAGTATTACACCGTCCGTCACAACTGCGTTTGCATTGTAAAAGTGCTAAAATATCACTCGGATATTTACAATAACCTGCAACAAACAAGCTTCTGATTAGTCCATATGTTACAGAAAAACACTGTCATGGTGCATTTTTCTCTTTTATCAGAAATTGCTTGTGAAAGATAAACATCTGAATAAGAAATTTTCTGGGATCTCTTAATTTTTTAGTGCAAGAACACTATTTTACAAAAACTAAATAAAAAAGTATGAATGACTTCCTGACTGTTTTAGTGAACATAAGCTGCAAGATTTGCATCAAACGTTTATACTTAAAGTGAAATGTAATATGCAACTTAAAGGGATAGTTCACCCAAAAATGAAAATGTGATGTTTATCTGCTTACCCCCAGGGCATCCAAAATGTAGTTGACTTTGTTTCTTCAGTAGAACACAAACGAAGATTTTTAACTCAAACCGTTGCAGTCTGTCAGTCATATAATGGCAGTCAATGGGCTCCACGGCTTTGAGAGTAAAAAAAAAACATACACAGACAAAACCAAATTAAACCCTGCGGCTTGTGACGATACATTGAGGTCTTAAGACACGAAACGATCGGTCTGTGCAAGAAACTGAACAGTATTTATATCATTTTTTACCTCTGATCCACCGCAATGTCCAACTGTCCTGAGCGCGTTCACAACATCCGGCACGTGACGTCATATAAATACGGTCGGGCAAAAAATTCCACGTTGTCTGATGATATATCAAAATCGTCTTTAGATCTGCTTTAGATCATGGCAGTGCCAGTGAACACGTCCGCAATCTCTCTGCACTGTGTAAATAATGAGTGACGTATACGCGCGACAGATCGCTTCCGCACATGCGTCTACTATCATAGATATGTATAGATGCCCTATTCGACCGCTCCAGATATGTTGACGCGTCCGGCATTTTGGAACGTATCGCGGCCCATAGAAACAGTCACTAATGAGGAATCTACTTATATATATGTCTACTATGCCAGAGCACATACACGCGTCA